ATTAAGGTACTCCATATAAATGCGTGTTGCACAAACATTTTGAAATTCGAAATAAAATACTTCTTCTCGGAATTTCCAAGTAAATTTTGGCAAATCATTGAACACGTAGTGTAGATTTGAATTAGGCAAAAAAAATGTTTTGCAATTTTTTGGAAAACTACCCCAAAATACCCCCCTGCACCCCACGATTTTTTGACGACCAATCGATTTTGCTTTCTTAAGGCGTAAGGAACGATATAAGATAGGTTTTATATTTTAGCAATAGAGTTCCGACGGAATGACACGATAAAATCATTTTTAAACTCCACTATTATAGATGCCGCCGCACTTAAACTATTTGATAATTCAGACATTACTTTCAAATAGGTACTCATATACTTAGATAACGGGTCTTCAAAAAAAAAAAACAAAGATTGTTATGATGCATTATTGTTTATTTATTGGTAAAGATTTTTGACATTTTGACATTAGAGCTCATTGAAAAAATTAAACAAAAATATTGCTACGACATACGTTTAAAAAACCATATAGCAATCTTTGATTATTTTTTTTTTTTGAAGACACGATAGCATCCTTTATAAGCAACCTATCGTCATCTCAATTATCCAGAATTGCTTCTATGACTTTTGTGATGCCCATCTTTCCTGAATTGAACTCAAACGAAAAGACAACACTGTAGAGGTGGGAAACTATTATCGATATATCGATAGTTTGCTACACTATCGAACTATCGATAGTTCTACTTGGACAATCGATAGCAGTCCTCCTGTCTTTTCTCATGTCAGCGATGTCAAGTGTCAAGAAATATCATTTACATTTCATCTTTCATCAAGGCTCTTGAAGTTAATAGGTTGTCTGGTAATGGGTAATTTGATGACGTCATCTGTTCTGAGGTGTCTAAAGGTCGAATTTATAGTCGTTCCTTGACTCTTCCTTGAAGGTTGTGAGTTTAGAATGGACACTTCCTACCATTTGACAAGTTACATTCATGTCAATTAATTCTTAACGTTCAAGGCTTCCTTAAGGTCTTGGGAAACCTCGAGGACCGACTATAAATTCGGCCCTAGAGGATTTGGAATTGTTGAAAACCCCAGATGACGCCATAAAAGTACAGGCATCCTATCTCTCTCAAACAACCTTGAGGTTTCCTCATATTTATTATTGTTTTTTATTTTGGTTCTGATGGTATGGTACTATGGTAGTTGAAAGTTGAAATCAAAATTAAAAACGATGAAGATGAGTTATGTTTTCAGTTATCATCAGTTAACAACAACAACCTCCACAACTCAACTACAATTAGATGCTAATTGTTGAAACCCCAAATACATTTTATATTTGGGGTCCAAAACGTAAACCTTTTTTTTATCGATAGTTATATATCGATACATCGATTTTTTTTGCGTTACTATCGATATATCGATAGTTAGATTCTTCGATAGTTTCCCACCTCTACAACACTGTATCTGTTCAAGTTCCACCAAACATTTTATTCTTTCATTGGACTCGACAACCTCAAGATACTGCAAGCCATATTGGAGCTTCCTCCAGCCATCAAACTCAAACTCAGTACGAAAAATGACTTTCTTCCATGAAGATAGGATAACTATGTCCAGAATTTTATTGGAGAGTTTATGAAGCTTTTTGGATGATGTTTTGAATTTTTGTTTTAGCAGGTGCTATGGATCTGTGAACCGTGTGCTCCGATAAAAGTAGACATGAGCCGTTTCACATTGTCATTTTTGTGAAATCCAAACGAAGATCTCGGGACTGCCAATAAATAGCTATATATTTGACCGATTGAAAGAAGGAACGTTACAACATGGAGATATCGATGCAGTTGTGGAAATTCGTTTCATAAAACTCCACTGGAGATTTCCTTTATTATTTGTTTTCTAATTTAGTGAATCTTTTTTCTGGCATAAGTGACCTGATATTGTCAAACCTTTCTTTCCAGATTGTACAGGACAGACTGACGACGCACTGGGAGATTTATGTTCCATAACCCTATTCATTAGGGCAAAATGTTTCATGATATGACCCTTCAACGCCCTTAGAGATCTCTGCTATCGAAAGTTTGCGCAGGGAATAAAATATTCCTCTGTAAAAAAACGCCCTTTCTGATTTGAAGGACATGACTTCGTTTAGTAGTAGTTATTTTGCTAAAAGATGTTCAATGTCGACTTATTGTTTCTAGAAAAAATTGATATTTTTCAATGAAACCCGCTGATGGGATATTTCTTCGCCACTTCCATAACTCTAAGATGCCAGTTACAAAAAATCGAAGAAGTAAAAATTTAAAATTTTATCTAAGACCCTTTTTAGAGAGTTCCAGCGAATGCTATTTTCAGAGAGTGTCTATCCGAACGGTTTAACATAATCCAATTCGGACTCTTTTGATGCATAAATAATGGAACTTGAAACTCTTGTATTTATCCTTTTTTTTTGGTACCTGAAGTTTTAAAGTTTCTGCCCTGTGCCGTATAATAGCTTCCCAAACCATATCAAAAGCTATTATATGAGAAAAGCATCCATTTTATATTATAGGGTATTGAATTGAGAATTTTTACATAATGGAAAATTGGCAGAAAGAAAACACACAATTTTACGTTTATTTGTTTTTTTTTTGGATTGGTAGTAAAATTCTCTTGACAATACCTACCTGAAATATTATTGTTGAATAATATAGATAGCATTAACTCCCGTATTGATCCATGTCATGTTTTGGCCTTAAAAGAATAATCTGGCTGGCGAATGATTATCGATTGGCGTTACCGGAGATTGTCTTTGACATGCACATTACACAAAATCGATGCAATTATAGCGATTTTAATATTGACGAGAGGGAAAGTCAAAAATTATGCATTAGACTGTGGAAGATACAGCGTGGGCAATCTATTAAACCTTCGACTTGCGTAAAACAGTTTAAATCAGCAATTTAGGCAGTAAAGGTCCTACTTTTAGACCAACAGGCAAGTAATAAATAAAGGGGGTAGCTGGAAAGTATTTCGAAGTTATTGATATTTTAGCATGTCGTTTGTGGATAGTCTGTGGAGAAAAAATTAAGTTTTCGACCTCGAGGACCCTGTGCTAACTTGGAGGAAGTCGAAAGACCTAAAAATTTTCGAACTTTTCCAGTTTTTTGCTCATAACTTCTAAACCATGCGTTTTTAGCGGAATACACCAATTTATAAAGTTGAAGAAAATTAAATTTTCTTCAAATTTAACTGATCAAAAGTATTCTTTAACGCAATAGTAACCGAGATAAAGTAGTTCAAAAATACAAAAAAAAATCTCAACTTGTCAAAAATTTCTTCTTGTCCGAACATAATTCAAACCAATTCTACTGTGCCCCTGAACTTTTTTTTTATTGTATCCTATTTTAATAACTATTATTGGAAAATAAACCTTTTTTGATTTCGATTTTGCACAGGAGCTGTTGCACCTGAAGTTGTTGCTCTTGAAGTTGTGAACTGCTGCCACTTTGCTCGAACTATTGGTATTACCTGTATGAATACCTGTTTGGAAAAAGGTAGTTTTCAAGACATGAAATTGAAGCGGAAGGATATTGTTGTTTCTCTAGCATCTGTTTCCTTTTGTGTGACAATTAGAGAAAAAAGTTAACAATATAACCTCTCAATCTCTTTCAACGAATTTGCATAATAAAACAATTAGATGATGATCTTAGAAACTTGGTGATATTCGAGCTAGCCCCCTCTTCGGGATCAATGCTATAGTGTTTTTTGATGGGTATCCTGTTGGCATAAGTTACCAAAGCACCAGAGCAGTAGAACGATATCGACGATCTTTGTTGCAAGTTGCAATCATAGACAAAGTTTGTGTTTTCCAAAGTTATAGGGCAAAAACCTGCATGCTATGCTATTTTTGATATTCTGAGAGATTACTTGAATTTTTAAACCACTATATCTCAGTAACTATTGGATTGAATACTATTGGCCGGTGAAATTTAAAAGAAATTTGAAATTCTTCAAGTTTTGTTGAGAAGCTATAAGCAAAAAACTGGAAAAGTCCGATAATTTCGAGGTTTTAGTTGCAGTTAATGCGAAAAATAATTCAGGTGCACAGTAGGCATAATATATCGTCTGTGGGTGCACGTGAAAGAGATGAGGATAAAATATTTTTTTTACTACTAACCTGAGAAGTAGTCATTATTCAATCTATTTTTCTGGGAAAAAATTGAATTTCTCTCCCTAGGTTAATAATGAAAATAATGAAAAAAAACCTAGGTCAATAATGAAAATGACGTCATGGCACAAGGATATTGTCATAACATTACAGGTTTCTATTGGTTTAATTTCAACTTCAAACTGTAAATTTTTTAAAAAACAGATTCCTGTATGTATATTATAGGAAATTACCTTAAACTGTTGATAGAGGGCAGTACTTCCGATAAGAAAAAATAATTTGAGCACAGATTTCAAAACTATTTTTTATTTCTACTAGTAGTAGTAAAAAAAATTCTATATATTCCTCGGTAGAGAAAGTCATTATATACCTTACGCATTATAAACCGAGGCGCGAAGCGCCTCGGTTTATAAAAGCGCTCGGTATATAATGACCAAATTCTCTACCTAGGTATATAATGTACTATTATCCCATGCTTGGTTTGAATCGTGGTCGACCGGAAGAAATTTTTGACAAGTTCAGAATTTTTCTGTATCTTTGAACCACTGTATTTCGGTTACTATTGCGTTAAAATACGTTTAACTAGTGAAATTTGAAGGAAGTTTAATATTTTTCAACTTTTTAACTAGGTGTATATAAGCCAAAAACAGAAAAAATCCCAAAATTTCGTGGTTTTTCGACTCCCCCACTAGGTCCTCCAGGTCGAAAACTCAGACTTTACACCGCAGACCACCCACAAATGAGATACCAAAATATCAATAACTTCGGAATACTTTCCAGCAGAAACTACTCGCCTGCTGGACTATTTAGGCATTGAAGAGATTTTTTTTCAAAGGCTTATAAAATAGGTAACTTACTGGGTCTTTCTTCTTCGGATCCTGATTTGTCTCCATCTGAAGTTCTATGGTGGTGTTTTTTGTGTTTATGGGAATGTCGTCTTTCAGTTGGTACGTGGACTCCAACAAAGACACTGTGAGCTCTGTGACCTGAATGTATAATATTGATGTTATTAAATATTTTTTCGAAATTAATTTCACAGGAAATAATTCATGAAAGAACAAAATCAAGTTCCTTTTTCTGGAAATGCAACGAAATAGCTGCAGGCCTAGGTGCAAGGCCTGAACTATTTCATTCGGAAAGACAAAAGGGAAAATTGAGTAATGCTATTTATAGAAGCTTGATGTTTGAGTGAATAAAAGGGAAATTATTTAAAATGGTTTTTTACCTTCAAAATCTGTTTCGTCAAATGATTGTTTTTGTTTCTCGGCTCTGGGGTCTTTCGGTGCTGCATCGTCATCTTGGGGATCCATAATTGTATAACTGCAAATAATTGAAAATAACCATCTATTATTAAATAATAAAGAAAATTATCTTGTTTGTTTATTTAATTTTAATCAGGTTTGACGTTATTGCATTAGTTGAGTGTTCCTTTTTTATGATCAATCCATAGAGATAAGTAATTTTTAGTATTTAAGTATTTTATTATAGATACGTAGGAGTGATGAATGTATGCACATTTTGTTTGTCAATCAATTAAATCGATGCTAATGTGGCTAATGGGTAATTCAATACTGTCGTGGTAAATTAGTCAGACAAATACGAGTTTTTGTGATTAATTTCTTATTTGCTTTACAGATTAAATTACTAGGTAGGTACAGATTTTGTGTTTCATGAACGAGTGAAAACCCTATTTATTATATTAGTAGCTAACTAATTTTACCTTGTTTCTAACGTTGGTGTGAATTTATCCATAAAATCTCAGCCTTAAAACTATCGAATCGCGGCTAGGCCTACTTTTAACTATACCGGCCGGATTCTCATAAATTCTAAGGGCTGTTCGTGCCACATTAGAAATAGCTATGAATGTTAGTTACTACTACTAACAATAAACCAAAATTTATTTTGTGTAATGCCCCGCCGTCTGAATGTCTCAAAAAAATTAAAAACCCTAAAAAAGTCGTGATTTTTGTCAATTTTCGATTGTAGCCTCTACACGGTTGTTTGTGCCGCTTTGAAAATAGCTACACATATTAGCAATCAACAAAAATTAGTTTTGTGTAATGCCTTGCCGTCTGAGTTTCTCAAAAAAATTAACCCTAAAAAAGTCGTGATTTTTGTCAATTTTCGATTGTAGCCTCCACACGGTTTTTTGTGCCGCTTTGGAAATAGCTACACATGTTAGCTACCACCTCTAGCAATCAATAAAAATTCGTTTTGTGTAATGCCACGCCGTTTGAGTGTCTCAAAAAAAATAAAAACCCTAAAAAAGTCGTGATTTTTGTCAATTTCCGATTGTAGTCTCTACACGGTTGTTTGTGCCGCTTTAAAAATAGCTACACATGTTAGCTACTACCCCTAGCAATCAATTAAACTTACTTTTGTGTAATGTCCCGCCGTCTGAGTATCTCAAAAAAATTGAAAGCCTAAAAAAAGTCGTGATTTTTGTCAATTTTTGATTGTAGTCGCTACAGACTCTACACGGTTGTTTGTGCCGCTTTGAAAATAGCTACACATATTAGCTACCACCCCCAGCAATCAACAAAAATTAGTTTTGTGTAATGCCTTGCCGTCTGAGTTTCTCAAAAAAATTAACCCTAAAAAAGTCGTGATTTTTGTCAATTTTCGATTGTAGCCTCTACACGGTTGTTTGTGCCGCTTTGAAAATAGCTACACATGTTAGCTACCACCCCCAGCAATCAACAAAAATTAGTTTTGTGTAATGCCTTGCCGTCTGAGTTTCTGAAAAAAATTAACCCTAAAAAAGTTGTGATTTTTGTCAATTTTCGATTGTAACCTCCACACGGTTATTTGTGCCACTTTGGAAATTGCTACACATGTTAGCTACCACCTCTAGCAATCAATAAAAATTCGTTTTGTGTGATGCCATGCCGTTTGAGTGTCTCAAAAAAATTAAAAACCCTAAAAAAGTCGTGATTTTTGTCAATTTTCAATTGTAGCCTCTATACGGTTGTTTGTGCCGCTTTGAAAATAGCTACACATTTTAGCTACTACCCTTAGCAATCAATAAAAATTAGTTTTGTGTAATGCCCCGCCGTCTGAGTTCCTAAAAAAATTAAAAACCCTAAAAAAGTCTTGATTTTTGTCAATTTTCGATTGTAGTCTCTACACGGTTGTTTGTGCCGCTTGAAAAATAGCTACACATGTTAGCTACCACCCCTAGCAATCAACAAAAATTAGTTTTGTGTAATGCCCCGCCGTCTGCGTGTCTCGAAAAAAAATTAAAAATCCTAAAAAAGTCGTGATTTTTGTCAATTTTCGATTGTAGCCTCTACACGGTTAATTGTGCCGCTTTGAAAATAGCTACACATGTTAGCTAACACCTCTAGCAATCAATAAAAATTAGTTTTGTGTAATTCCACGCCGTCCGAGTGTCTCGAAAAAAATTGAAGACCCTAAAAAAAGTCGTGATTTTTGTCAATTTTCGATTTTAGTCTCTACACGGTTGTTTGCGCCGCTTCAAAAATAGCTACACATGTTAGCTACTACCCTTAGCAATCAATAAAAATTAGTTTTGTGTAATGCCCCGCCGTCTGAGTATCTGAAAAAAATTGAAAACCCAAAAAAGTCGTGATTTTTGTCAATTTTTGATTGTAGTCTCTACAGACTCTACACGGTTGTTTGTGCCGCTTTGAAAATAGCTACACATGTTAGCTACCACCTCTAGCAATCAATAAAAATTAGTTTTGTGTAATGCCTCGCCGTCTGGGTGTCTCGAAAAAAATTAAAAACCCTAATAAAGTCGTGATTTTTGTCAATTTTCGATTGTAGGCTCTACACTCAGACGGCGGGGCATTACACAAAACTAATTTTTGTTTATTGCTAGGAGTAGTAGCTGAAAGCGGCGTTTCCTCATGCATAGTTTATTGGCGCCAGTCGACTGGCACGTGGAAACGCGGAAAATTAACTGGCACCAGTGAACTGGCAGACACTTATCCATGCGCCAGTAAAGTCGAATGGAGGTCTATTTTTTGGCGCCAGTTTGCTATTTGTGATAGTTTTGTCAAAAAAAATACAAACGTTTTCACTAGACGTTTTCAGAAAAATAATGAAAATGTCAAGTAAATCTAAAAAATTGAACATATAAAGTTTTTGGAATAAACGGAATGATGCTATAAGGATAAGTGTTGACGTATTGTGCGAGTTCTCGTGTTCCTAAGTGGTTTTGATATCACTGCTGCTAAAAGCAAAATAAGAAGCTTTAGAAATACTTCGTGGTCTTCATCCGCTAACTCAGACAGAAATGATGCTTCTAGAGCTTTTCCTCGTGAAATCCATTTTCGTACCCAGATCTTGTGTCTATTTCTATTCTTCTTGTTGTTTCGGGTCTTCTGTAATAATTCTAGAAACAAAATATCCACAACAACATTAATACCTGCTTGAACCATTAAAATTGACGCCATTTTTCATCTATCTACTGCGTCAGTTAAAAGTTTTTGATATCTAGTGGAAACAGATATTGGCGCCACTATTATTACGCCAGCAAACTGGCACGTGCACTGGTGCCAATAAACTATGCTTGTGGAAACGCCGCTTAACATTCATAGCTATTTCCAATATGGCACAAACAGCCCCCAGAATTTATGAGAATCCGGCCGGTATAGTTAAAAGTAGGCCTAACCGCGATTCGTTAGTTTTATGGCTGAGATTTTATAGATAACTTCACACTAACGTTTCCAACTACGTAACAATCCTATCGGTTAGAGAAAGATCATTGTAGTTTCTACAAATATACAGGGGTAGAAATATTTCCTTCCACTTGTCTTATACAAAAGTTATTAGACAAAATACAGGAAATCTAAATAGTGGCAAAGTTTTTACATGTCTAGTAAACTTACGTTACGCAATACAAAATGGCTTGAAAATATACTGAAAGCGAAGATAATCAAAATAGTTCCTTCGCTAGCTACTGACTGGTTTCGATCTTTTGGTTGTGCCTTCTCTTCATGAATCCTTGTCTAATAATTCTATTTTAATGGTGTCCAGGGACTACGCTGTTCCACTATCTGGTTGTAGGCTCAGGGAAGTATCGGTTATCGAAATACACAGAAACTTCGTTTATCGAGAAATTGAACAGAAATATAATTCAAATTCAGGCGAATATGGATTTTGTAAAAGGGCATTAAATAGTAACATTTTCAGTCACTTGGTAGAAAAAATTGCAATAGGTACTTGGAAATTTTGCTGTTCATAGCTACCTAATAGAGCACGTGAAAATAGTAGAAGGGATAAAATCTGATTCAAAAAACGTAACCAAAACTGAAAATCTAAGTAAATTCGTTTGATTGATCCTGAAAACTCTACGTGCACATACAAAGAAGCTGAAAAGCTGAGAAAGTATGGGAAAGTTAACAAAACTTCGTAGACTAGCTTAACTCGTAAAAATGATTTATGGCGCACGTGATTCGACGAAAATGAAATTGTTACAAGATATTGAAGACTCAAATTGACGGCAACGAGGAGCTAAACTTTTTTCACAAACAAATTTAGTTTAGAGTAGGTACCTACCTACCTATCTATAGATGTTATAAACCAAAAAATCAAGACAAACTATGGCCACGATAACATTAATCAAGCAATTTATGCAAGCTTTTACAGCGATAAAGCTTCATTAAGAAAGGCAAATAGGAACGACTCTTATGCATATAGACTCCAAGCCACCGCTCTTTGAGAATTGTTGACGATTGGCTTGGAAATGTCAAAGAATAAAAGCTCAAGAAATAAGAGTAGCAGATGATTCAAAAATATTATTTTCATCATATTTTTAATATGATCAAAATTCGAATGAGAAAATTATAGGGTCATTTCACTGGTTAACCGGCCATCACCGGTTCTCGGCCATTTTTTCGTTTAATGTTGATAAATAAGAAAACCACAGCACGTATATCTATTCTCGATGCTTATCTGACTCTCTGTATCTTTCTCGCACCCATATGACCTTGGGTGTGGTTGGGGGTGCAATTGGTTTAGACCTAAGAAATCATTTAGTAGAGGTCTAATCAAGTCGCGAGTACGACGTTTGTTATTCTTGAAAAGTGCTTGGTGATGTTCGAGCAGAAAATAGTAAGTATATCAACCTTTTCATGTTAGAAATGCATGGAAAGTGTTTATACTTAATAACTTTTTTTTTTCATGAAATTTCAGGCTGCCGGAAAGTAGTATTGAAAAAACACACGTAGTTTAGTTCTCGGCCATGTGGCCGAGAAAAATGAATTTTTTAAAAGGTACATTTGGATATCTTCTTTTTTATATATTAGTTTGCGGCCGTCAAATATTACATAAAATAATGTTTGTTTCGAACT